TATATATATATATATATATATGTATATGTATATATATATCTATATATATACATATATATATCTATATATATGTGTGCTGAGTTGTTTACTGATTGTGGTTATCAGTGTTATGACGGCAAGGAAACGTCCCATCTCTGCTTCTGCGTTGTCTCCTCCTTTGCTGCTGCTGCTGCTGCACCTGCTGCTGCTGTTGCTGCTGCTCCTCTTGCTGCTGCTGCTCCTCCTCCTCCCGCTGCTGCTGCTGCTGCTGCTGCTGCTGGTGTCTTATAGTTCTCCTGAGTCTGGCGCTTCTGTTTCTGCGTGCATTTCTGGTGAGCTGCTGGTCACTACCACCATCACCATCACCATCAGCAACAGCAGCAGGAGCAGCAGCAGCAGCAGCAGCAGCAGCAGCAGCAGCAGCAGCAGCAGCAGCACGTGCAGCAGAACGTCTAGAGGGAGCATCTGGGTCTGTAAGAGAGACAATCATAGTAACCCTTGTATCTCTTGCGGGGTCACATACATCACCGGGGGTGGGTGTAGGGGCCTGCATGCGTGTACGCTTCACCGCCGTGGTGGGGGGTGTTGTTGTTGGTGGGGTTGTTGTTGTGTTTGTGGGGTGGGGGGCGGCGGGGATCGCCGCCGGGAGACGATCCCGGGACTCGCAAGCTTGCAGCAGTCGGCGCGAATAAAACTAAACAGAAACAACAGCATATAGTGCAGCAGATGTTTGTTTTTGTTTTTGTTTTTGTTTTTGTTTTTGTTTGTGGTTGGGGTTGGGGTTGTGTTTATGTTTATGTTTATATTTATATTTATAAAAAGGAATATATATGAGGGGTAGAAGATAGATATACTATAATATAATATATATAAACAAGAGAGAGGAGACAGATGTAATATATATAAACACGAAAAAAGAGATAATTATAAGAAATATAAGCGAGAGACAGGAGATAGATATTTACATAGATGTATAGAAAGAGAGAGACAGAGAAAGAGGCAGAGACAGGGAGAGACAGAGAGAGAGACAGAGAGAGAGACAGAGAGAGACAGAGACAGAGAGAGAGAGAGAAACAGAAAGAGACAGAAAGAGACAGAAAGAGACAAAGACAAAGACAAAGACAAAGAAAAAAAAAGCGGAGAGGTTAAGTTACCTGGATGGTTAGCTGATGAAGGAGGAGACCACCATATACTTCGAGAATTCTACAGTCCCAGCCCGGCTATAAAAAAAAAAAAAAAAAAAAAAAAAAAAAAAAAAAAAAAAA